GACCTTTCACCCCATAGGAACTTGCCCCTGTCCATCATCATATCCATGCCTATAGTCACGGTGGTATATGTTCTAACCAACCTGGCCTACTTCACCACCATCTCTCCTCAAGTCATGATTGAGTCAGAGGCTGTTGCTGTGGTGAGTGTACTGTTTTTCTTTAATATGATGTGTTTCATCCTTAACTGGGACGTGCATATTGGTTGTTTGTGGTCACAAATTCTCCTCATCTGCTTTTTCTTTCTGTTCTGCAGAGTTTTGGGGAGTACCATCTTGGTGTGATGTCCTGGCTCATTCCTGTCTTTGTGGGACTGTCCTGCTTTGGTGCAGTCAATGGATCACTCTTTACCTCAGCGCGGTGTGTGTTTGCATGTGTACAATGAAACATAAGACAGCATTTTATACATTTAGTATTAATAGTTTAACCTCTTAAGCCCCAACGCACCCTGATAGGGGGGCAAAAGGCAGGAGATCAGGTGGGCTTGGGGCTTAAGAAATTAAAGTCTCCGTATTTTTGGAATAAATAATGATTTAAGAAATTTCTCTTCTAGTTTGTTCTATGCTGGAGCTCGAGAGGGTCAACTCCCTGCTGCTCTGGGGTTGGTCCACACAGACCTGTTCACACCAGTGCCATCCCTCATATTCACAGTAAGAAACCTGATACTTTCAGTGACATTTTACCAGCTGGCTACCAATAAGATTAGGTTAGTATGTTAAATCATGTATGATCATTGCTAAAAACCTCAAAAGTGTCCCCATTTTTGAGGTATTATATGGAAGTGTATATAAATCTGTTTTGATGATACAAAACATTTGTGAAGCATTTGTAGAGTTATTTTTGTTCGAGAAAACTATTTCAGTGAAGAGTTACAGTTAAGTCCATTAAATCCAGTGGATTTTTGTGCATTTTTTATGATGGTGCCTCTGTGCACCACCACAGTAGCTTTTAAATCAGACAGTCAAGATGTGATTGAAGTGCAGACTTGCAGCTTTGATTCAGCGAATTGGACTTTACAACAGTTTTTATACACAGTGCCTCATTTTCAGAGGCTCAAAAGTAATTGGCTGACAAGCAGTTTGAATGTTACTTCATGACAAACTAAGCAGATCTAGTATCTGTGGTTGATTCCAAGTGGTGCATTTTTATTTTCGAGCTCTTATTTAGCTCTTTATTGTCATTTTAAATATCAAAACAACTTCACAACATCTGACTAAGTCAAGAATAGTCTCAAAGAGGTAGATGCATTATTGTTAGGGTCTACAATCAAGACGGCTTCAAGAAAGTAAATACAGAGGGTTTAGAGAAAGGTGCAAACCACTGGTTACACTCAAGAACAGGGAGGTCAGATTAGATTATTACCAGAAAACATCTAAAAGAGACTGCACAGTTCTGAGAAAAAAATTTGGGGGGGGGGGAACAAATGAAACCATGATAAGCTTCTACCAGAGTGAAGGGAAGAGAAAAGTATGGAGGAAAAAGAGAAACAGCTCATGATGTGAAGAATACCACATCATCTGTCAAACATGGAGGTGGAGGCACTGTTATGGTATTGGCATGTATTGCTGCTAGGAGAACTAAGTCAATGGTGTTTATTAATGATGTGAGTGCTGATAGAAACAGCAGGGTGAATTGTGAAGTGTCCAGGGCTACACTTTCTGTTTAGATTCAGCCAAAGCTGCAAAACTGATCAGACAGCGCTTCATGGTGCAAGTGGATAATGACCCAAAAACTGTAAAACCAAGTCAAGAGTTTCTCAAGGCAAAGAAACGGGATATACTTCAAATGCCAAGTCAGTCACCTAATGTCGACCCAACAAAGCGTGTTTTTTCATTATTAAATAAAAACCTGAATGCAGCAATGAAGTACTGGTAGACAATCTCAGTGGAGAAAGCACAACGTCTGGTGATGTCCACGTGTTCTAAACTTCAGGTGACTAACACACTGACTAAAATCAACCCTTACATTAAAAGTGATATTAACTTGTTCAGTTCATTTTGAGCCTTTGAAATTGGAACTATGTCTAAAAATGGCTCCAGTTCTTAAAGAGTTAATGCAGTCCTCTCAAATTAAGGTCTGCATCAATCACATGTTGATTGTTTGGTTTAAAATTCGCTGTGGTGGTGAACAGTAGCAAAAAGCACACAAACTACCCATGGGAATATGTCTGTGAAGGTTCTCAGTCATCCAGGTCATCGTAGTCTAAGCTTGGAGCTTGGAAAGAAAAGCGTCTGGACTTCTTTGAGTTGCTTGAAGACGTTTCACCTCTCATCCAAGAAGCTTCTTCAGTTCTAAGGGTCAATGGTGGGGAGTCCCAGATATAAACCCAGTGGGAGTTTCCCCCCAAAGAGGGACAAAGGACCCCCTGATGATCCTCTACCTAATCACATGAGCCAAGGTGTGAAAGTGTGTGAAAACTCAAAGAAGTCCAGACGCTTGTCTTTCCAAGCTCCTTAGACTACCCATGGGAAGTTAACTGAAAATGGCAGCTTTATTATTGGAAAAACCTCCATTAAATAAACTTTCAAAAAACATCACAGACACTCTTTCATCTCCCTATGTCACGATCTGGTTATAGGGACTCAAACGCAGAGCGGTTAGATGTCTCCAAAATGCAGTTTATTTACAGTTCCAGTGCACAATATATATACAGTGAAGGGAATCCAAAACTCCAGGGAATCACAGGGTAGCTCTCTCACACTCACACACGTTCACACGGCAAGGAGGTCGCAGGTCCGGGGGGGGGGAAGGTCACAAACTAATCACGAAGCATAAGTCCACAGGAGCTGTGAGAACACTAACGTCAGTAGTACAATCATCCAGCAACGAGAGGATCTGTGTTCCAGCCTCAAATAGTGCTCCCGGTGATGACAGGTGATTGTTGTCAGGTGTGTGGGCGGGAGCACACAGTGAGCTCCGCCCAGGCAGAGAGGGAGAGAACCGAAACAGTAAGTGTAGCCTTGTGGGGCCAGCCGGGCAGGCACGGAGACCATGACAGTATAAGACAATAAAAATAAAACAGGAAACCAGAGACATTCACAAAGATGTAGACTTGACACCAATGTTCCCTATAAACTGCGCGCGTGCGCAATTGCGCACTGCTGGCACGGTCTCTGCGCACAGATATGCGTTGCGCACAAAAAAAAAATCTAACCTGAATTGAAATTAAAATGAAAACTTTAACAATTCAGTTTTGCAGTGTTAGTCAGTAAGTGACTGGCTGCTCCCGTATGGGATTAGAACGATGCCACCTTATCCCATAGTCCAGCCAATGATGCGATTCACATTCGTATATACGCAGCTAATCAACGTCGTTGACAGGCTATGACAGCGTCCTTATGTGCCGACACCGGTGTTTTAGCTAGCAAAGCGGCGTGGCTGATGTGGAGTGAAGCCACGTTAATGACAACGTGTACAACCATTGGAGATGTGAGCAGGACAGACGGAACAATTGACGGAAAAAGTGTGGACTTTATACCAGTTTTTAAATGAGGTGTTTTGAGATGTGAGAGATTTGAGACATTTAGCGCAAATCTTGTGTAGTGTAGTCAATAGTTTTGTTGTGTGTGTCAGAACAATGAGGCGACTGCTGAATGTTACAGGTGTTACAGGAGTGATACATCTCCTGTTGTCAGGCCTGCAGGTATCAGGCTGTTGTTCTCCTTCATCTCATAGTGGACAGAAATTATTTTTTGGAGTGGCACAAATAATTTGTGTGGCATCAAATTTGATGCAGAACAGCTGATTGTTCTGTAAATAGTTTGAGATGTTTGTTTAAAAAAACGCCTTGGCTGCATTTTTAGGTAAACAGCTGCAAAAAACTTTGTTGTTTGCATAACTCAGTTACTTTTTTGAAGAAGTAACTATATAATTAATTGCCCAACATTGATCATTCTATACTGTATTTTGCAGACAGAGAGTTACAGGACTCTCCCAGACCACAGACTCATACTCATAATACAAAATAAATAAATAAATAAAAAATGGAAAGTTGTGTTTTCAAAATTGGAGTTCAAGTTACTTTTACTTCCAATAGTGTTAACATACTACACAAGATTTTTTTTAAAATTTTCATTGTAGGTGGGCTAAAGCAGTTAATTAAAAGAAGTCTAACATAAATGTAAATGCTGTAATTTGATTATTTTAATAAACCATGTAACTTGGATGGATTTGATGCTGGCGTGACCACAGTGCACACGTCTAATGTTGCTCACAGTGGTCCAAGGGACCGCTCAGGGAGTTTGTGTGTTCGCTCAGACACATGAAAAATTAGAGGGAACATTGCTTGACACTGAAACGTAGAGACATAACTGACTGAGGAGACAGAAAGAACATGGAGATGAGTGACTAGACGAGGAACACGGGGAAGGCAAAGTAACAGAAACCTAAATCCTAGGAACTAAGAATATAACACAAGCAGAACACAATAAAGAGAACCAAAACAATGAATAACAATAATCAAAGAATAAAAATGAACCAACAAACACAAAACCCTGGGTCACAGACCCAGTACTGTGACACCTACCTGTCTTAAATAACTGCTCTATTCAAGAAAATCACTAAGGAGGATTCAGAAGCCTTGTGTGTGTTTATAATCTATTATCCATCTACTATCTATAATCTAATGTTTCCAGCAAACTAATGCAATCTTTACTCCTTTTTTCATTGTATTAGTGTTTCCTATCGATGATGTATGCCATCTCCCAGGACATCTTCTCTGTCATCAATCTCTTCAGCTTCTTCACCTGGATGTGTGTTGGGATGGCCATCGCTGGCATGATCTGGCTGCGCTTTACCAAACCCGACCTCAGAAGGCCCATTAAGGTGAACGTCTTAGGGGTTAAAGTAGCTGCTCAGTGCGTGTTGCAGAGAAGATCCATTTTGATGGATATGAGTCTCACTGAAAGGTGACCCTAGCCCTACCTTCCTTGTCTGGCAAAACATCAACATGTCTTCTAGTTTCATAAAGCATCTGCTATTTTTTTTTTTTTAGTGAAAGCACCATTGTATCGCTACTCTTGTTATTAGGTGGAACTGGAAACATACTGTTTTTCCAAGACAGGAGGGAGGGGTATTTGGAGGAATACATGATCCTTTGTTTCTATTTCATCATGGGAAAATTACCTTGGCTGACCAGAGTCTTTCATCTTCTCTTTGGCCCACACTGCTTTCAGCTCAGTTATTTTATAAAATCATCTATAAACATATTAAAAGAGGGAGAGAGAGAGAGAGAGAGAGAGCTATTTATATGTAAACCATTCATAAAAAATGTCAGTTTCAACCCAGAAAAAAGAAAAACAAACCGTCAGCTCAAGAAGTTTAACTGATAACTGAATGTAATAACAGTATGGAGCTCTTAACATAACAGTTTAGCCAATAATAATTTCTTCATTGTGATCAAATTGTTGGGGACGCTTAAGGAAAAAGGGTAAGCCATTATGAGAAAAATACTTAAGAGTACAAATGTATTTAGTATCAACTATAGCACATATCATTGTTTCAAAATCAGATCTTTAGATGAAGTCAGGCATCATTCAACTTTGAATATACAGTCTTATAGTTTGAATTTGTATTGATTTGATTGATTTTTTTTTTTTGCATTATTGTCTGATCTGTAAAGTAATCGGTACTGAAAATGTCTTAATATAAAAACTTTAGTAATTATTTGTCTCCTCTTGTTGTTTAATGGAAACAAAGTGGCAGAAAACAGATATCAGTGAAGAAGTTACAGGATCTAAAATCTGAACTTGGGAAGTATTGTCATCAAAATCACTATACATTAGTCTAATCGTTAGCTATAGTTGCATTATTCCAAAGTCCAAATATGATATTTTCTTCTTTTTCAGTGTGTGAGACATCTTCACTCAACAATTATAAACTGTATCTTATCTGCTCACGTCTAATATAAATCGAAACACATCTTCATCTGTTATGTATTTTGTATTTTCTCTCTGCAGATTTTTCTCTTCATCCCCGTTACTTTTGTGTTGAGCTGCGTCTTCATGATCGTCGTGTCCTTTTGGGCAGCTCCCTTCGAGTGTCTGCTAGGCAGCGGCATTATTCTCACAGGCGTCCCAGCGTACCTACTGGGCTACAAGTGGAAAAAACCCCATGTGGTCAAGAAGATGCTGGGTGAGTTGGAGATTTTTTTTGTTTTTTTTAGAGTGAGGCAAAGGTGGTTTGTTGTGAAATTCCTGTGAGATTATCTGCTCAAGTTCTGCTGTGGGCACCGGTACATTTCCTTTGTTTACATAGTTGGTCCGGAGGACTCAGGCAAAAGACCGACGCAGTTTTAAAAAAAAAAAAAAAAAAAAGTCCAACATTTGACCTGTAGTAGCCTAGCAAAGAGAAAACAGACGTGGCTAACGTGACGAGTTGTTTCTCCTCAGAAATCTTCACCATGTTCTGTCAGAAGATCTTCATGTCTGTTCCTGAAGAGAAGGAGCAACACGGGGCGGCTGAATAATGCTGGACAAACCGAGCAAGATGAAAGACTGGGTCAATATTTTTGTCTGGACATTCCTGTAATGTTTACATTCATCCACATGTGATCGGACTTTTTTTGTTTTAACTTTATCTGACCAGGCAGGTAACTGTGAACATATTCAATATTCGCAAGAGTGGCCTGACAAATGGAGGATTTGTTTTATGAATATTTTATGAATACTGCAACTTTTCTGCAAAGAAGACCACCGGGCATTTTACACTCCTTATTATGAATTGATTTTAATATTTCAGCATATCTCCTTAAATGGTCAAACATGCTCTGATGTTCCATGTTAGTTAATGGAAAGCCATCTGTAAGTGTATGACTGCTGCAGGCATATAATTACTTGTGTACTGCAAGTACACAATCAGGAGCTGCAGTGGCCCGTGACATACAGGTATATTTTTCTCCTGAAGTGTACAAATGAATAGCTTAGGCGGGAAAATATATGTCTAATACCACTAACAACCAAACTAGACATAGTATATTATAGTTTAGGGTTTATATTTATAGTTTATATTGTGTTAAAATAAAGGATTTTGCTATAGCTGCTATAATCACGTCACTTAGAGTTTATAACTAAGGTCAGATTTGGAAGAGGCAGAGGTTGTCTAACAAAGCACTTACTTCATTTTCTCATATGGTACTAATGTTTGTGTTAAATAGTAATTCATTCTCACATTTTACTTGATATTGTTTTTTATTTATTGGTAAGATGAACTTGTAGCGCTGTCGTAAAGCACAAGCTAAAGGGAGATGAAAGAGTGTCTGTGATGTCTGCTTGAGCTGCACTGTGAATCAGGTCTGTTTCTTGTATCATTTCATTCTGATATTAAACCTCATCGGCGCCACGTGTGACGATACTCGATGAAAACGATACCAGCATCTCCGTTTGTGCGCCATTGTTGTGAGACGGCGTAGATATGCTCAGATATCTTGGTGGTGTTCGTAGTTAGCCTTAGTGTTTGTACTGAACGTATTTGATGTCTGTGCCAGCCGTGCCAGTGCTGATATTCTATTTCTTTTTGTCACTGTATGACCAAAATGAATGTTGCAACTTTAGAGATGCTGGCTTTGCTTGTAATTTTTGTAGGAAATGTACCTGGAGAGAGGTTTGAGGTTTTCCCAGCATATTTCCTGGTCCAGTGAAGGCTTGGGAAGGGAGGAGCTTCTGAGGAATGTTAAGGGGGATTGGAATCATGTGGAGTGGGAAAAAGGTTTATTACTTTTGCACACAAAGGAGAGACAGCCTCCTTACAAATCTACCACAGATGTACGTATTGTCAGCCTACTCACTGTGCTGGCAGTCCAGGTTTCACAGGCCCCTTTCCAGTGAAGGGAAAGGTCTGAAAAAACATACTAATTCATACTGGTTGCTATTCCTTTAACATTAATGCAGAAGAAGCTTTCAGACAAGAACAAAAGAAAGTCTGTGAGAAAAATGACCTTTGACATTCTCACTGGTAACATCAGACTTTCCGTGGTGAGACACAAACAGCTCTTCTTTTTCTTTTTTTAAAGGAACCCTCTTTAATCTTATTTGTATAAGTTAATGGAAATGTGAAGTTTAAATACAAACATGTAAGTACATTTGCAATTAGCATGCAACAATATTTCTCCCACTTAAAGTATTTAATACGGATTCTTTATTAATGCAGATTGCATACAGATTTAAAAAGAGAATAGCTGAATGCAAATGCTTGCAAAGTTGGCACTGTGGCCATCTTTAAAGGTGAGCTCTCTGAAAGCACACCAATGAACACCAGTCCTCGAAGACACGCCCCTTACTTAATGAATCTACTTAAATTAAAGCCCTGAACACACACGTGTGTCTAAAAACACACTGATTCCAGTTACGATGATAAGCGGTCTCATATATTTTATTTTATGCACAACGTGCTGCATCGGTGTGTGTGCGTTTGTGTAAAGTATTATGATATGTGAAAATCAATAACGCAAATGTAATTGAGAATAAAGGAAGCTCATATTTTTGATTCTATAATCTTATTCTATAATATTGTAACTGTTGTCTGTGAGTGACCATAGTAGGTACTGTACGTGTAAAAAATAAAACTATTTTGTTCAAAGTTTGATTGTTTGCGCTTTTGTAAAGCAGACGGCCAACAAAAGGAGTCAGAGGATTAAAATCTGATTGCTTGCTCCTGCAGAAATGCAGCAGCTGGTCGACAAAAGGCCGGCCGAAGCCCCTCTTCAGGCACCGGCTTCAGATAAAACAAAGATTCTCTGAACATGACATCCTAACGTCCAAATGAGGATGTTTCTCAAAATAGCGTTATCATCTCAGCCATCAAATGTCTGGTAGTGCTCTGTGTCACATGCACATTGCTTCTTGTTTGTCCTGTCTTGTTTGTTGGCTCTCAGACAATGACGCTGCCGACCCGCTGTGCTGTCAGGGGACTTCATATCCGTCTGAAGAGGAAATGAGACGGCCCGATGGCTGCTGATGGAGCTCTTATCAGAGCTGCTGGACACAATATTAGTGGTGGGGGATTGGACAGGCAAGGAGCCGATGAATGCGCAAGTCACGTCTACAAATACAGAGTATTTTGATATATTAAGTGAAGATGGAAGTGGGGAAAGGGTTCAAAGCATTTTCAGAAGATGTGGTGAAGTCGAGGTGTTAGTGTATTCTTTGTCTTGAAGACAGTGTGGGTAAAATCAGTTTTTTTTTAAATATGTATATAATATTATACAATTAGTTTAGATTACAGAAAGCCGACTATTGCAAATGTTTTTGTTATAACATATGATCATCGTTTTACAGCTTCTAAAAACAAAAAAACTTTCATCTGCTTTTGGCATCAACATTAGGGCTGTGTATCCAACACTAGATTTCACCAGCAGGTGGCGATAGAGGCCCATCAATAGAAAGATGATGGCGAATCACTGAAAGGAAACTGCCGAACTACGGTAATCACCCACGCAATAAAACAACAAAACATATTAAATTTAGAACATCTGCCTTTGAAACTGTGCAAATCTTATTATTAATATTACTAATCTCTACGTTTCCGTTCACAAATTATTAAATTAGTCTAACAAATGCTAGTTTACCTGTATTTTAGCAGAGTATTTTTCCTAAGACGAACATGCTGCAGATGAAGATGAGCCATGGGTGAGGGTTGCTCAAGGGCACAACTGAAGAGGGAATGATAGTGAAGCCTTTGATATCCTTTATCACTGTTAAAACATATCAGCGTCCCACTTTTAGGAATCTGATTTACTATAATTAAAGTATCTTTCTATTTTGAGGGTTTAGGGCAAGGATGTCAAACTCATTTTATATTTTGGTACAACCCATTTTGATCATAAGTGGGACAGACCAGTGAAACTCTCCTGGCTGTTAGCGTAAAGAAGCTTAACTACACATTTAATCCCAGAGACATTTTAATATAAGAACACGAAACTCAGTTTGAGCAGTACATCTCAGTTTGTCTGCATGTGAAATAACTGTTGCTCTGGACCTAAACTGCAAGAAATAAATGTTCTGTTAGCTTACTGCACAAACTGTCATATAGTTATAAAACAGAACATTTGTAATAATTGACAGAATGACGTTTTTTAAACATGATTTTTTTACAGTAAACCTACCGTAAAAACCAAACATTTCTATAGCATCTGGCGAAAAAAAACAGGCACTCTGTTATTTCATTGTATATCTATTACTTGTTTACTCTGACTTGTCATGGGGGAGCGCTTTATCAGTAGGAAAAGCCATAAAACTTATGAAATTATAAGCTTGTAAACATTTTTTATATTTTTGTTCTTTACATTTTCGAAAGCCGTGTAATACATCAGATTGGAGTCTCTGACAGGCCCATTCTGGCCCCCGGGCGCTATGATAGACACCCGCTTTAGGGGAACTAACAAACTGGGAGGTTATAGTTTTGTGAATCGGCTCTAGGGGGCACTGCGCCATCACCACGATGGAAAGAGAGAGCAAGAGGGCAAAAGAGAGAGGGGGAGTAGAAAGGGCAGAGAAAGCGCTGATGCGAAAGGCTGATAGATTCCATTTCTATTTTACCTTTAATCCAACTGTGAAATTCATAACTAAAAGGCAGATTTTGTTCTTCTTCTCAGGTAGTTCTCTGAAAGGCCGTGTACTGCTGCATCAACTCTGAGTTTCATCATGGCACTTTTAGCAAAAAAACATGGCCAGGGGGCAGGAAAAAAATGTTGCTTGGTGTTTTATATTGATCTAGTCTGGATTTTATGGGGTGGGGAAGAAAAAATAGAAACAGCGAAAAGGTTAAAAGCACGTTAAATGAAGTTACACTATCAAACCTTAACTTTTCACCTAATGAGCCATGTGACAGCAGCTACATCAACTCCTGCTACATCAAAGGTAATTCTCCTAATTAACCCCAGACACATGCAGGGGGAATGCAAAGTTGCGTTTACAGGTTGCTGCAGCGATCAGGCAGAGCTCATCAAAAACACTAATGAATCTGTTAAGACTTAATGACAGCCATGCAGTCAAAAACAAGCAGAGACGCACACCTTTTTTTGTTTTGTTTTTCACTTTAAACATTTTATTACAGACAAAAGAAAACAAAAAGAAGTAATTGTGACACAAAAAAGAAAAGAAAAAAGAATCTAATGCTGGTACATTAGCACCAACAGCAGTTTTTGAAAAAATATTATTCTAATAATCATGTAGTTTGATCATTAATAGTAATAATAATAATAATAATAATAATGATAATAATAATAATGCACCCTGATGAAAATAAGCCAAAATTTTACTTCATTTCATTTATAAATAGACGTGGAACCTGCAACCAAATTAAATAGAATGACCATATGATATTTAACAAAAACATAATGGGTTCTCTCATCACTGGCTTTAAAACTTTAAAAGAAGTATGTTTGGCAGGTTTATACACAAAATTAAAATATCTGTCCTGACGAGCAATCCTCTGAAACAAAATCCTGCTACAGTGAAAAAAAAGAAAATCTTAAAGAATTATTTTTCTTTACAGAAAAAAAAGATAAAGATGAGTTCAACACAATTCTAAAACACCTAATAAAACTAGTCAAAAACTTTAAAACCCACTGTTATGTTTTTTTTTTCTTTTTTAACCTTTAGTAACATTTCACATTTAGCAACTTTTTTTTTTTTTTTGTTATTCACCTGTACAAGTGGTGCTGGGACTAAGGGGTGGCTGGGCGGGGTCACAGGTGTAGGGGAGGAGGGTGTGGTCTTTACTGACCTAGTAAGTAGGAGGAGCTAAAAGGAGAGGTTTCAATCTTTGACCTCTACAGTTCTGCAGCGTCCTGAGGCCATGTGAAGAGAGTGCGACACTCTCTGCCGGAGCTCTGCCAGCTGTGGAGGAAATTGAGCATTTTGCAGTCTTTGCATTTCCCTCTTTATTTTGGAGAGATTTGAGACTGGTGAACACAGTTTCAACACGAGTTTTAGTGTGTGTATTCCCTCACTGAATCCGCCTGCACAAAAAAAAAAACAATTGGAAAAAAAAAGAAAAAGAAAAAGGCAAGGGACTGCAGCTAAATACACACATAAGAGGAATCCATTTTGGTGATATTTACAATCACGCTGTGATAAATAAAGGAAAGGATGAAGTCCTCTACTGAGGGCAAGGATGATTTACAAATGCGTTTGTGACTATACCTTCATTTTAAATGTCGCTTTGCTTTCACTCACTTCGGGTGTTTCAGTCTGTCCCGAAGAACATCCACCCCGATGGGGTGACTATATTCTATTTTCCTGCGTTAGCTTCTCTACCCAAGACCCTACACTTGGAGTATGCTTTGAGCATTTTAACTCCCCAAAACAAGGGCAGTCCATGGCAAACAGCGTAATGGAGCAAAGAGGAGTGGAATCATCTTTAAAAAAAAATCTAGACAAAATGAGAAGATGTTTTTTTTCTTTCTTTTTCTTTTCTTTTTTTTTTTTGGTCTTCATTTCCAGTATGTTGGCATGAGCTTAAAACTCACTGCCCCCTCAAAAAATGGAAAGTTCACTGATAAGGAAAAAAAAAAAAGCAAGAGAAGTGCCTCGGGCTTCTGGCCGATCTAAGTGCTTGGCAAATAGGTGAAGTTACTGTAGCAGTCTTTGGGATTTTCGAAATCCATCAGGAAAAAAAAGAGAGAGAGAGAGAAAGAGAAAAAAAATGGTGTAGAAGCAGATACATCGATGATGTTGTTGTTATGTTAGAAAGCTCCCTGGAGTCTGACATTTGGAGGTCTTTCAACTTCAAGTGAGGTAGAGAGGCTTGTCTCGAGCTCCCATGCCGCTGCTGCTGAGGAAAGAAAGAAAAACAGCGTTAATGTATGGCTGGATATACGTGTGAATACGGGGGTGTTATCCTATATTTCACTGGGAAAAAGCTGAAGGATTGTTAAACATTTGTCACGGAGGGACTGGCATTAGAGAGCGGCTTCAGAACAAACATAAAAGCTGACGATGAAGCGTGCACATCAATAAGCGTGAAGCCAAAATTTGAAGATCACTTGTTACTTGAAATGTCAAACACAAAGTCTGTTCTCCAGTTATCTCTACTGACATACTGGAGACAACTTAGCTCCCTCCAAAACTACAAACTACAATGACTTGACACTGAGAGTAAAGGTTTAAGCAAACACCCAATATTACTTCAAAGACTGTCAAACATGATTTGACCTAGGCGTGATCCCGTTTGACATCCAGATGAATCAGCTCTAAATACAGGAGACGCCGACTTACAGCTCAGCTGCCTCTCAAAGTAGCAACGCAGCGTTTCAGGTGTGAGACAAAACATTCTTCTCGTGCCTGCTCGGATATCTTGATTCAATAAGGCAACGTGTGCCGAGCGAAACACGGGGAAACTTAATTGGATGTCACACTTTTTTCCAAGCTTGGTAATAGCATTGTTCTACTGCTGCATTACTCATTTCAATTTCAAGGAGATGCTTTGCTTTAGCAGGGAAATTGCAGTTTATGATTAATACTGTCTGAGTCTCTGAGTGTGAAAGTGAAGTGGTTTAGAGTAACTCATTTGGAAAATGAGTAACTGTCAGACAGCTGCTTAGTATTCTCAACAATCAAATGTCTTGGATTGCACTCACAGAGGGACAGAGCTTTTTGTGTGTGTGTGTGTCTGACTCTGTAATTCCCGTACGGAAAGAACTAATGTACTAACAGCATAATATTGTAAGCGGTGCAAAGAGCTCACCTGCAATGGTTGGGTCCGCAGTCCCTGTTGCAGTACTCGCCATCCCAGTCGGGGTTCTGGCCGTGCACTGGATTGGGGGCCCCGGGAGACTGTGAGCCCCCAACACTGTTCTGGTAATCAGCTTGAATATGGGAGAAACCCTGCAGATAGCAGGAGAGGCGAGATGAGCACAGGATGTTACACGACTTCAGCTTTATGATGGCCAGCCATCAGAGTTTGCTGAGCCATGATACTGTATAAGGCTAAATGTTGCCACTGGTCTATATGAGTTGTTACGCATTCACATTTGGCGCATTGCATTGACGAAATCACCCTTCTTAGTTTGGCAAGACACCCTGCTGCTGGAATGGAAACATTATGGACTCAGAGGGAAAGGAGAAAACAGTTTGATTGAGACTAAATGGGTCTTTTATGCGTTAAAAGAGGAATTGAGAACTCTTTATTAGAGAGCGAGGCTTTACTGGAAGTTTTTCCTCTTTAGAAAACAGCAGTAACTGATGAGTAACTGTTGTTGATTTTATATTAAATCACAACGGGAGAAGCATTAGATGCTGAATATCTATGGAAGCTAATTAGGAAGTAAATAAAGGTGATGATATTTGTATATTTGTATGTGAAGTGAGTCTAGAGGAAACACAAATCCCTTTGGGGTTATATAAGGAATGGGCATCTGGTGGAAAATATCTGCCAAATGAAACATGCAGAGCTACTCGAGTGGCGACCCAACAATCGAGAAGCTGAAAGTAGCTCATGCTGTCTGCTAGCATGTGTGTTGTTGATCATCTGTAGAAGAAGCATGCATAGTGAATTTTAATAACAGCTAGACCAACCTGTTGGCTGAGAGGAGGGGAATGCAGAGGTGCCTGGAGCCCCATTTGGTGCGAGATGATTGGTTGCGACTGCTGCATTCGGATTGGCTGGTTGAGCAGGGAGCTCTGATGCAGGGAGAGCTGAGCGTGCGGATGCAGAGGTGGGCTGATTTGGAAAGGTGCTGGGGGAGAGGCACTCATGCTGGGTGGGAGCATCTGGGACTGGCCGAGGGTCTGCGCCAGTGTGTGGCGGGGTGGCCCGCCGTAGCTCTGGAGGTCTGACAGGGGAAAGGAGCCCGGCGGGCCCAGGTACGGTGAGGAGGGCTGAGGGGGCACGCTGTACAGAGGCTGCTTGGGGGGCATCATGTGGGAGGACTGGCTGGTCTGCTGGGCACTTTTTGGTTCAGGGTCATTGTATGTCTGTGGATGAAAATACATCATATTAAGACAAGAAAGGCCCCATTAAGGACACTGCACTCATCAGCCAATATTCATCTGATAATAACACGTGTCCCTCATTCCTTTTAAAGAGAAACTTTTTTCCCCCCATCATGCTCTGTATTGTTGAATAGGTTTTATTTTTTTTAAACTGCACGCATTGTTATGCTACAGGAAAGTGCCAGCAAGCAAACCAGGTCGTATCTGTTTCCTATCACAGCCACAGGGATATCCTGCTATTTTCCATCATACATTTTTGTTGGACTTACAGAGAATTATTTTTTAAAGCAATAGTTTGAGATCTTTGCTTCTTTGCTTTCTTTCTAAAATTTCGATGAGAAAAATCAACAGATCCATGCAGCTGTTTCCCCTGATCTAGTATTTATGCAAAGCTGAGCTAGCTTTCTTATTAAGCATGTAGGTATGTAATAAAGGCTTTTTCATCTAATTAGAACCTAAACAGGCTATCTCCTAAAGCGTTACATTTACTGCTGAATTATTTGTGGAAAGCTTGCACCCTTGCACAAATTACTTTCTTTATTGACTGAGGCTTTGTTTACTAAATCTCTACGAGGCTCCAGGCTGTGCGTAAAATATAATCTATATCAATATTCATAATGTGCAAAATATGAGAATAAACCCGTGCTGGATTTTTCTTTTAAGCATGCGACAGTTGTCACCTCTACACCCATGTAGAGGAGCTGACAGATGGGCAAAGATTGTACAGATTAAAAACAAAAAAATCGTAAACTTCACCAAAAAACCCCTCCGAATTTGACCTTTCCCAGGCTGGACAGTATCACACTGAGCAGGAGCAACACCCGTAAAACACCCCACCTCTATCTTCACCCCACCCTCTCCAGGCTCCTGTGATGAGCTGTCAGATTGCTCATCTCCAGCCATCAGTGTTGATTAGAAGGTAATGGAGCCCATTTGTATGAATAGAGCAAGGGGCCGAGGTAATGATCAATACACACCTTGACAGATAGATGGGAAAAGGAGTGGGACACACACACCCACACACACACATACATATATGCAGGACCCCAGGCAGAGAAATGAGACTGTTTGCCTGCAGAACAAATGGAATGACAAAAGGAATCTTCACCACACTACATTGTGTGTTGTTAATACAAGACGGCACTAAACAATGCAATTCGCAGCCCTCCTCCTTGCCTTTCGTTATTCCCTGTGCTGCGTTGCTGGTTTATACAAACCGGCATCATTCATGGGGCAAAAAGGATGTCATAGATCTGAATTAGCGGGAAAGTGTCAGAGGTGGGAATAGCAGCAAAGCCCACAAATGCCTCTGTTGATTTGGATGTGCTTCCAGCTCTAGATGACGAGAGGAGGAACTAATGCAGGACACAGGTAAATTAATGATTGCTTATTTCCAAAGATACATACAGTACAGAGTATCTGATAGCCCACATAGCGCATAAGAGAGTTATTATATTGTCTTCTCTAAGCCGCATACACATTATGGCCATTATGGATGTGTGCTTTGACTGGCCGACCCCTCCCCCAACCCTTCACCCTATATCACCATACCAACTACAAACCCCTACCCCCACTGTGCACCCTATGGAAATCAAGTATTGTTCCAAATAGGGCCTGTACTTTGAGCATCACCCCCCCCCCAACCACACTCTTTTTCACCACCACCAGCTCATGCGAAAGAAGGTCCTCCCAGCCCATTAGCAAGTATTTTACATCCAATCCATCATCAGTCTTAGCCAGGGCCTGTGTGTCATAAGCGTTACCTTGGAAACCAGACTGGCTCGGTACGCGGCCAAGGCTTTCAGGTACTCTTTCTTAGCCGCCTCGGTTTTCCTCTTGTACCCCTGTGAAGAAATAAAATCAAAACAAGAGGCTTCAGGTGAGAGCAGAGTTTGACTCGCTCATAAACGTGCAGACACACACAGACACACACATCTGTCAATAAACACACACACACACACGACTTTTTTTTTAAGGCAAACTCTAACACTCTCTTAAACACATCCTGCGCACATGAACATGCACGCACACACAAACATACACACACATACACATAAAAAGATGCTTAATGTTTCCCTTTCCATCAGAGCCAATGGTACAGAACACCTCTATTTCCTCATCACAGCACTAATACTCCCTCATCTCAATGTGTCTCTCTCTATTGTAGCGACACATCATTTCCATTCCAATCCACCTAGAGAAATGAACTGGAACTTCTCTCTCTCTGTCCCTTTAGCTCCACAATAACACTATCAGTACATTAGTGATAAACCAGAATGGTTGTTGTCATTTGGCACATTACGATGTGAGTTTTGTTTGAAACTGCCTTTCATATTGTCAGAGGGATGTACAAGCCTCTGATGTCATGTGTTTTCCAACAGACTGAAGTGTGTTTGCATGAAGAATGTGAGTTTGTGAGCGCACATGGACTTCTGCGTGTGTGCTGTTGTACAGGTATTTTCTGCCAGCATATATAGGTGTGTATATATATATATATATATATATACACACACATATATATATGTAATGATGAGTGTCTGTGTAGGATGCAACACCATGATGGAAAATGGTGCTATTAACTATAAGGGCTATGAGGCAAAATTATGTCTATTATGCAAAACAAAAAGAAAAGATAGAGAAAAATCCTTCTTAGTAGGAAAAAAATGTGTTTATATACTCTACTGTTGTTGCAGTACTGGAGCCGGTATGAACACATTTACTGATATCAAAATGATACTTTTCTAAATGTTTTGCACAAACACGTCTATTCATTCAGCAAAGGACCTGAAACTTTAATAATCTTAAAAGTTTTCTGAAAACAAGCCACAATGCAGGAATTTGAAATCTTTTTATGTGATTGATGTACACTGGTAAAGCACTAAGCTAGTCTAGAAGCTACACTGTCTGAACTCTTTTACATCCTTTCCTAAAATTACACTTTGTTCATCCCATGAAACAGACGATTTAATTAACAGCTAACAACTGCGATTTCTCTTGCAGGTGAAAACCCACGAAAAATAAAGTGATGGCCGTCTATATCTGTCATCAGTATTACTTCCCACCTATTACTGCTGAACTGAAACTAGAGATCATGTCGAATAGAGAGAAAAAAACAATAGATTGCTCCTCCTGGATAGCCAAGATGCCCTTCAGCTCAATCCAAGGATGAGTCGATAGTGGAGGGAGCTCACTAATTCTGTATTCTAGGCAGGATCAAAATAGAAGGCGAGAGATATAAATAAAGAGAGTGGAAATGAGAACTTCACACATTCCAGCTTGTCAGAGGGCCAATGAAGATACATATTGTGGAGGCTGGTGGGACAGAGGAAATGGGACACTACCTTGGCCTAGCGCTTTGTGGGAGTTTTTTTTTTTGGCAAAGATGAGTTTCAATTTTTCTGTTTTATTTCTGGAAAAGCCGTTTTCACTTTCTATGGACACTACACTGCTAAGATAGATGGCTTTGATAGTAATCACATTCACATGTGATTGCTTGCTTTTGCAGAGGTGCGCGAGCGCGTGAGTATGTGTGTATTTACCTCCTGCATAACATTATCAGTCCTAGACTCTTTAAATCTCCCCAGGCATGTTTATATTTTTCCCATACTGACCATTTCCTGCCTATAAAATGTCCTACTTTGTTAGTCTCAGACTGTTTTATGGCTGTTGTTGCAGAGAACACTCCCCCTCCCTCCGCTTCCTTCCCTTTGGTAGAATTAAATTTAGAAAGAAAATCATTTTAATGAGAGTCAGGGGAGTGGGGATAAACGGATGGATTATCTTTGGAAAGAGAAGAACTAGCTCATTAAGGTGAGCTGTATCTCACAGCAATGTTCTGGTAATTACACGGCAGATAATGCCAACGAAAGGCTGCCTGCCTCTGCTGCAGCACATGCGCCATCTACTGGAGCGACCGCAATCAAAATGTGTACGCGTGTTTGCGTCATTGCACACTGTGCGTGCTCCCATCTGGAAAGCTCATTTTGGTGCCTAGACTTTTGCACAGCATGTTGTTTTAAACCTTCTGCACCTACACGAAATAGTTTTTACCTGCTTCTGTTCTTCGCCTAGGCTGTCCCACATGGAGGCCACGATCTTGGACACGTCCCCGAAGGTAGCATTTGGGTTTTGGCCCTTGATGGCTGCTTGGGTGTCTCTGAAGAAGAGCGCATATGCAGACACGGGTTTCTGTGGCTCGTTGGGGTCCTTCTTCTTCTTCTTCTTTTGAGGTTTGGGTTTGGGCTTCATCATTTCTGCTGAGGGTCGCTTCTCACTGCTTATCTGAAGACAGAAGAAATGGATGGGGAGAAAGAGAGACAAGGAAACCGTCATAAATCACTTCATAATTTCAGTTACCGCAGAAAGAAGTTTTATGTGCCCGATGCATTGGTTGGACAAGATACTCTAGTTTTTCCAGGGCATCATGTACAGTATATGTAGGTTATGCACAAACATACAATTTTGCACAATTTTAGAGAAAGTTGGACTAAATTTCAGTAGCAACCAAAACGTGCAAAAAACGGCGGTACTTTTAGTGTCCAAACTGATCTACACAGATTCTTGTGGGAAGCACAGTCAGGTGCTTAGCAGCACTGTTGCCTCACAGCATGGTCCTGGATTTGGATCCACTGACCAGCTGGGGCCTTTCTGTGTGGGCGTTGCATGTCTTCTCTCCAGGTAGGCATGGGTTAGGCTAATGAACAATTCTAGATTGGCCTTAGCTGTGAATATGAGCATCTCTTTGTGTTAACCCTGCAACAGACTGGTGACTTGCTCAGGATGTACCCTGCTTTTCACCCTATGACAGCTGAAGTGACCCCAAATTGGATATGTGAAAAAAAATAGCTGGTTAGATTCCTGTGTTATTTACTTTTCAGCATAAATAAAATACTGCCAGTGATACCTACTGATATAAATGTGAAAATCCCACATGACTTCCTTCTTGAACTATTAAGTCGAACCTTTTGCCTGTCTGGCAACCCGGATGCCAGCCTACCTAATAGTGTGACGACAACTCCACATCAGCTTTTTACCTCTGAGGGTTAAACAGCTGTAAAAAGATGGTTTTGGTCTCTATAGCTAATTAGCCACTTAGCTGAGTGGGAGGATTTACAGTTCCACTCAACCTTGTGAACGTTAAGGTGTAAAGTTCAGGGTGTGTTCACTTTGACTGACAGGTGGAGGAAGGCAGACATCTACATCTCCACTAAACTCACTGAACTTGACCTCTTGCCTTGTTTGTGGTGCCTTCAGGATTTTAGATTTAAATGCAGCTATGTGATAAATACAGTAATCTTAGTTCCAGTTTAATTTAAGCAGGTTTGGGTTATAGGGACATTTCCCAGTAAGTTTGCAAAATGTCACTAGTTGCTTAAATTAATGGCTGCAGAATTAATAGATATTTTATATTTTCCTTTTTTCCTCCTTTTTTAAAAAAATGCTTCTTTCAAGTGTACCAGAAATAATGGCATGTTTTCAGGAAACCAGCAGAGAGGGAATTTTCCACACACCCAGTTTGTCAACAATAATACACTGCAATCTCTCGACATTTTCAGGAGGCAAAACTGTTCACATCTGTGTGATGTACTTGATCCAATACACATGAATACATTCTCATTTTCCATGCAGGGCTTTGACTGGGAGTCAAATCCAGGTCACCTGATGCTGGATGTGATTCTATATGGAAATTGCCTTCTTTACGGAGATGAACGGAGACGGGAGAGGGAGCCAGGAGAGAGAGGGAGAAAGAGACGGTGAAGAAAAAGTGATGGCTTGATGTTGCCATTAGTAGCAGTGAAACATCAGTTAACCTGATTTCCTGGTTGCTCTAAAGGCAGAAAAAAAAACAATCTAATTTCCATCCATATCATAGAAATAATGACATGCGGAATATATGATGATATACATTGGTATTAAGTCAAATGAAAGATGCTGATGTGCACTCGTTGCGGTTGTCGGGTTACGCCGAGTTACTCAAACGTTGTTAAGAGCTCTGAGGGAAGTGACAGCGAATTCTTCTCTATTTTGGCAAACGCGCATCATCTCCAAGGCCAAGTTCCTGTTTAATCATGTTGCATTTTTAAAAAAACTTCTAACCATCTTTGAATGTTTGCTTTCATAATCCACTCATCCAGGGGGTTCAGTGGTAAAGCTCAGTGTGGGTGCAAACCGTGAAAAAAGATTTGTCCCCACGTGAGTATCGAACAGCAACTTTAGGACGTTCATTTCCATTCAATGCATACTTATCACTAGATTAAGCAAAGGCCGTGTTTTCCCCTTTCACCGTCGATTGGAAAACAAGAAACGACTGCCTTTGAAAACTGCATTGTTTTTAGCGAGGCATTTGCCAAACAACATACTGTATTCCACACAGCATGAAATTAACTAATCAAAATTCAAGGTCCAGGAGCACATTTGGCAGCTAAGGAAAACTTCAAAATGGCCTTTGTGGTGTGAAATGAATGAATGTTCCCCATTCAGGATGATGTGAAAGTATTGCTTGTCTATTTCACAGCTTACAGGTAATATTCTTTTTTTCCCCCCCGTGCGAGTGTGTGCGGTTTCATTAAAAAATAATCATCCCTCACTTTTAGGCAATGAGGCAGAAGACAGGCATTTGAAACGACATCTGTTCCACCCAAGCCTTTGAAGTGAAAATAGAATAAACTGAAGGTAGAGCTAATGGAATGACAAAACATAAAAAAGAAGAAGAAGAAGGCTAAATAATCGCCAGGAAAATTCACATGTATTCATACAGAGGAAAGAATGATGACACACAACAGCCCACAGCAGAATGCAATCAACCAGGAGAATAAAGGGCGTATTCTTTCATTTCTTTCTTTATTTCCACGTCTTATAATCAGAGATTCATGTTCTCAGCTCAAGTATATACAGTAAAAAGCTGACAGTGACTCTGAAAGATTAATAAAGATGGCTCACATACTTCTAAAGAGACAACAGTAAGTGAAAACTGCTCACTCTGCACAGTATTAATAATTTTCTCCCAGAAAAATAAGCAGGAAAAAAAAAATCACCCCCTCAGATGATTAATTTGTTCTCATCTTTCTTCAGCATGTTTCATCTAAATCTAATTGTGAAAGTGGTTTCCTTCATTTATGAGATTACCTTTATATATAAATATATATGTATTAAAAAAAAACAACTTAATGTAAACTTCTCTGCAAAAAAGGCAATTTAACATCGGATCTTTTTAACAAAGTACCACAGAGAAACACTTTGTATTAGAATATTAAACTAGGCCCACTGGCCTGTCATTTTGCCTGCTAAATAATCTTTTTGTTTTAATGCGCTCTGCCTGGTTTCCTCACACTCGAGCCCTGAACACCTATTAAGAGAAAACTCCACAGCTTTGACTTTATATTTAAGAAGACCAGTCTCATTAACCGACACAGTCTTCTGTAAAACGAAATATCTTTCAAATGAGAAAGTGAAAAAGTGATCGCAGCCATATTCATCACTATAGTTTTTTCTTTCTGGCCCTGCAAACTATCGACGCTGGATAAACACTTACCCACCACACAGCCAACTACACAATATCAAGCTTATTTTGCTGGGTTCTCTCGTGCAGGTGCAGTGAACAGTAATGATTATGACAGCTGTTGTTGTCAGTTGAGAAAAAGAGACAGTCACATCCCTTATTCATAATGCAACATCTCGTGGCTCCAGTGCATTCTGGTCTATTTTCTGATACTGCTACTGAGAAGACTGGTATCTTGTGCTCTTGCAAGATGGACTCTCTATGCAAAATGTCAAAACTTGAAACTCTTTTTATTATATGCTTACAACAGACAGATTTTAACGTGACTGATATTTGTTTCTTGTCTTGCATCACTTATATTGTGCTAAAGCTAGCTTAACATATGATGCCATGTTATTTACCAATTTATTTAGCCATCATTTTTATTTTTTATCATTTTGAAACACAAAGGGAAATGAGAGGGAAAACTCAACCCCTCATAATCTGAAGCTGTAACTTTAGTTTAAACACAGGCCTTCTTGTTTAATAAGTATTTATATTTACAGTGCTGGATGGATTCAGTGCAGCCACAACAGTTAAATTCACTGCAGCAGTGCAGAGGTCTCCTTTGGCTTATCTTCTAATTGTAGCTCGCAAAGTAAATCACTCACATGTTTTACATAAAAATGTAAAACGTGTAAATAACAAACTGTGGAAAAAAGTACCAAAGCAAATCCACCTGTAACAATTTACCATGATGTCTTTGGCATTTACATATAAAATCCGGCATTCACATTACAGACAGGCCAGACCAGACAGGTTTATTTAAGTATTTCAGAAACTGTTGATCTACTGGGATTTTCCCACACAACCATCTCTAACGTTCACGGTAAATAGTCCAAAAAAATATCCGGTGGGCGAAAATGCCTCGTTGATGTCAGAGGTCGGAGGAGAACGGCCAGACTGCTTCAAGCTGATAATTCAAAACAAGCACTCTTCGCAACCAAGGCATGCAGAATCTCTGAAAGCACAACACATGGAATCTTGAAGCAGACGAGACCAAACCTGGGCAGCAGAAGACTGGAAGACACTGACGAGTCTTAATTTCTGTCTTGTATCAACAGTTCAGTATGGTGGTGGTGGTGGTGTTAGGGATATTGTCTCAGCATGCTCTGGGCCTCTTAATATCAGCTGAGCATCACCTAAATGTCACTGTCAAGTATTGTTGCTGACTATGTTCTTCCCTTTATGACCACAGTGTACCCATCTTCTGATGGCTGCTTCCAGCAGGATAATGGACAATGTCACAAACCTGGTTTGTTGATCATGACAGTGAATTCACTGCACTCAAGAGGCCACCGCAGTCACCAGATTTCAATCCAACAGAGCACCCTTGGGATAAAGAATAAAAGTAGCTCTGAAGGCAAAGGGAAGTTCAACCTGCAGGGTGTACCTAACAGATTGGCTGATGAGTGCGTTTAATAACATTTTTTTAAAGTTAAGTAATTGCCTGCCAATTTTCTCCATGCAAGAGGACACAATGCACATTCACAGAGCAGACATACACTGATGGTAAAAAAGCTTTTAAAGACTGCAATTAGGGGGTCGACCAGAAACAGCACGCGGATGTCTTAGGTAAAAAACATCGTGTCCTGTACACAGCAGCAGAGACTAAATTTATTTCCAACACAGCTTTCTAGTTTACCAGGAAAAGATTGAACTATAGCGTCAGCCTTAGCTTGCTCATCCCATCAGCATTTCTGTTGTCTGAGAGCGAGAGAGATAGTGATGGAGAGAGAGAGAG